CTCGTCAACCGATAGGCACGTACTCTCCGGGAGTTTTTCGTCTGCCGAGAGAGCAATTCTTGCATCAGATACCGCCAATGGCACCGGGATGCTGGTGAATAAAGACACCACGTCAAAAGAGACAAGGCTCTCGTCCTCACGTTGCTCTAAATCGGAAACAAGCTCTATGAAGTTACCAGAGTTTTGCACGTACGTTAGAGTTTTTCCGGTGAGGGGTGAGAGAAGCCTGAGGAGGTAGTTGTAGACGGCGCGCAAGGGTGACGTTGTGAAGTCCACAATAGGTCGATGTGGTACACCGGCCTTGTGTATCTTGGGGAGGCCGTACAACGCCGGGATAGATCCGTTCCTGCAGATGAGCCTCATGTAAAGGCTGCGGAAGTCAGGGTATCTCTGGAAGATGATTGCCAGTGTTTTGTTGAGCGTTTCTTGCACTTTTGTCGTAGGATCTCTGTATTAATATGTATAATATGTATTAATATAATATGCATAATATGTGTTAATAGGGGACAAGATCCGTCCGGCGCACATGGTTTACTTTTTTGAAGCGGTACAGATAATATAAAAGACGATCCCTAACCTGGTTCTTCATTATAATTACGCCAAATCATCAAGCGAAAGTTTTGCGTTCTTGCCGCACCTCCTTTTGCAGTAAATACTACGTTAGGGTCCATGCGCACAAGGGTTGTGCGACGAAATTATGGAGATTTCACTCGATCCGCCGCGCATGAGTACGAGCCCTCTTTACCATTTTTATTTTTTATTTTTTTTTATTTATCAATACTGCCAGCCCAATATAGGGCCAAGGCAGGAGTGCGGTGACACAGTGTCACACACGCACATTATAAACACGACAGTTCTAAACAAAAAGCAATCTTAGCACCGAAAAATTATATCTACAACATATTCGAAAGAAGAGAAACAATATCAACAGTAATACAGTAACCAAATGTAATACTAGTAATAACAATAACAGTATAGCAGTAAATGCAACAGCAGTAATAAAAAAAAATAAAGACAGTAAAAATAATTTCATAAGAGCAACAAAAGCAATCTTAGCACTGAAAAATAATATCTACGGCTTTTTCGAAAGAACAGAGTGAATCAATATCGACAACATCACCGGGAAGGCTGTTCCACAAATCAATTGTATGCAGAAAAAAAGATTGTTTATAGCTATTTATTCGAGCTTTAATAGGGGCTACGGTCTTTGAGTGATGCAAGCGTTCCGAGTAAAAACGTTTTGGTTTTAAGTAAACGGAGCCATCAATTTTTATACAGTTCTTGAAAATCTGAAAGAACAGCTTCAACCGTTGGCTCTCCTTCTGTTTAACAGAGGGCTTATATTGGCTCTCCCTTTAAGTTCGGTCACAGACGTAGTTCGTCTGAAATCTGAAAAAACTATACGCACTGCTAGCGATTGAATATCTTCGAGTTCTCTGACCAGAGAGCTCTGCCATGGGCTCCACACTGCAGACGCGTATTCTAACACAGGTCTAATAATTGTCTTATACGCAAGAATTTTAAAGGAAGGGGGAGTTTTACCCAGCGTTCTCTTCATGTACCACAATTTGTTAGTTGCCCGCTTTTTAACATACTCCACGTGCTTTTTCCACCCAAGGTCACAAGACAAGATCACTCCTAAACATTTGTAACTGTCTACTTCAGTCAATACTACGCCAGCAACCTCATAGCTAAAGTTTAAGACAGTTCTTTTTGTTGTTATATGCATGTACTGAGTTTTGCTAATATTAATCTTCATGTTATTTTCACGACACCAAGACGCAATGTTAGCCAGCGCTACACTCACTTTTATCTGGTCTTGTATTTCAACAACGGGACTGTAAATAACGCAGTCGTCGGCAAACATTCTTAGCTTAATTGGGACATCTTCATTGGATGGGAACAAACTGTTAACGTAAGTTAAAAAAAAGTAGGGGCCCTAAGACAGAACATTGGGGCACCCCAGAATGAACATCTAACAGCCCTGAGTAAGTACCATTTATATCCACAAATTGTTGACGGTTTGAAAGATATGCATTGATTCACCTAGTCAAAGAAAGGGGAACTCCGAGGTCGATTAATGTCTTAATCAGTCTGCGGTGAGGTACCCGGTCGAATGCCTTCGACAGGTCGATGAAAACTGCATCAACCTGCGTACGGTTGTTAACGTAAGTGGCTAAATCATGGTAAAATTCAATCAACTGGGTTACCGTCGACAGGCCACTGCGGAAACCATGTTGGTTGGGGTTTAGAACATTATGCATTTCTAAGAAATAAACGAGTTGTTTGGTTATGATATGTTCTAGTAATTTACAGGCCGTGCAAGTCATGGAGATAGGACGATAATTATCAATTGAGTCACTTCTGCCAGATTTCTTTATAGGGACAACCCTAGCGACTAGCCAGTCATTCGGTAATGCAGCATCCTTGATTGATATAGAAAATATTCGTACAAAGGTATTTGGCCAGCCATTCTACATTTCTTTTCAAGAAGGCATTCGGCAAAGCATCTGGTCCCGGGGATTTTTTTTCATCGAGTGAAAGTAGTAGTGCAACAACACCCTCCTCAGATATAAAACTGCTCACGTCATCTGCGGGAGGAATAATGATGTTCTGACATGACTCTCTTGTAAATACAGACTGAAAAAACTGATTGAACTTAACTGCTATTATTGCCTTGTCACTCACCAGGCTGCCGTCAATAGATATCTGTTTAATACCACTTTTTGTAGGAGATAGGTGACGCCAGAACTTTTCGGGGTTAGATAGCAAGCATTCAGGTAACGTCCTTGTATGGTATGTTTCTTTAACCAATTTTATTAAGCTTTTTAGTTGCCTCGCCTGTTGATTTACGTAATCAGATCGACGCTTTCGAAGCCCCTTCAGCTTCCGTTTGACGTGCAGAATTTCCCGTGTTATCCACGGGTTTCGGCGTTTATCTTTTTTGTCTTTTTTGGAATGAAATAAGCAAGACAATGGCCCACTATACACTTAAAGCTCAGCCACATTTCATTTACCTCAGTCCGCTGATTGAAGTTATCGAGGCACTGCTCAAGATGGTCAATAACGGATTCATCATTTGCCCTACCAAAATCATAGTACATCTTCTTTTCATAATGTTTAGACTTAGTAACAGAAATATCACATTTAGAAATACTAACTTATGGTCAGATATTCCGTCAAGAACAGAAACCTCACAACCATCGATATGATTACTAACAAACAAAAGATCGAGTAGCGAACATGTAGTGTCAGTAACACGCGTAGGTTCCGTAACAACTTGACGTAGACCGCGACTGAAAGCCAATTGTAGAAGCGAGTCGGACATCCTCGTGCCCTAGACAGCCACACCATCATCCGACCAAATGACGTCCGGAGCGTTAAAATCTCCTCCAATTATCAATTTACTTCAACTATTAGTGTTTGCGATCAAGTAATCGAGTCGGACATCCTCGTGCCCTGGACAGCCACACCATCATCCGACCAAATGACGTCCGGAGCGTTAAAATCTCCTCCAATTATCAATTTACTTCGACTATTAGTGTTTGCGATCAAGTAATCGAGTCGGACATCCTCGTGCCCTGGACAGCCACACCATCATCCGACCAAATGACGTCCGGAGCGTTAAAATCTCCTCCAATTATCAATTTACTTCGACTCCCTATTGAAAAAGGCCAATATGAACTCGGCTTATTGGAAATATTGTATTCCAATGAAGTTGATGGAAACCAATAAAAACTTATTGTTATCCGATTAACCCAATACGCACGATGGGAATTCATATCGGAGCACAATATCCCGATATAGTATGCGGTTATTGGTATACAACAGGATATTGGAGCACAATATCCCGATATAACTTGCGGTTATTGGTATACAACACGATATCGAAGCACAATATCCCGACAGAACTTACGGCTATTGGAATAGAATACGACACCGCGTGCATATTGGTGACCGACATGGACATACTGTGCGGCCACACGATATATAAATATCGGTCGTCGATCACGGGCCCAAAGGAGAATACAATATCGCGTGGATAAATCTCAGAACGAATTCCAAGTTACCAACATGAATTACGTCGGCATATACCGCGGACTAAGAGGATACGTAACACAGTATTGATCGCCCGTGAAGCAACATGTGGATATCGGTACGCCCACAATACGACATCGCGTGAATGATATTGTAGAACAGCAGGAGTTACCATACGGCAATACGAGAGAGAACGATATTGGAGGGGGACACACACAGAACACAAACGTTCCGCGTTGCAAACACATTCACATTGATCGAAAGCGCAAGCGTACGTACGCACACAGTACACACAGCCTCGAGCGCTTGAAATGCTAGACAACCACCAAACCATTCAGAATAACTAGCTGGGACACCCACGACCTACCTTTCAATGAGAAAGCCCAATAACGACGTGCTCGTTGGAGTGATCGTTTTCAAACAAATGTTTATTGCAGTTTTAATGAAACAAAAGTTAGGTTACCGATGTTGGAACCCAAATCGAACGCGATACGTGACAATGTCAGTTCGCACGATAAAATAATGAGGATTAATGGGCTTAACAGGTCACGTGCTTCTTACCCGCACATTTATCGATATTGACCCACCTTTCTGGGTAATCCTACGTCGTACACAAAATCCACAACCACACGCGAGCACATTTCACCCACCACTCTTCGTCGCCCGTTTCGCAAGATTCACACACTGTAAAACACGACGGGAAAAATACGTGCATTTGCGCCATCAAACGATACGTTACAGACTCGTTTTACGAGAAAAGTTTCCATCGTCAACCCGCGCGCGCGAAAGCTCGAGCGCTCGAGCTTCGGAAACAGTTCGAACTCCGAAGGGAGGCGCGCCGGCGCGCCTGCGCGCATGCGCTGCCAGACAAGCGGCTGAGCGAGCCGCCGAGATTGCGCCGCCATTGCGCAACGACCGCGACCGCGCCAACCCGGCGGACCCGACGGATAACAGCTCGTCAAGTTCGTCGCACACTTTGCTTGTGGGTTCCAAGTGAAACCAACGCACTTTCAATCGCTTCGAAAGGTACGTATAGACGACTTTATTACTTGCAGCATTGAGTGCTTTGGTATACACAGATCAAAGTGAACACTGAAGGACAGAAGGGAGACATGATGTTTTGAAATCGCAGCTTATTTGAACGCATGCGTCCCCTGCTGAAAGCGTCTGGCTGTGCTCTGTTGCAGACGTCATTTCGACTGCGTGTACTCTGATGTAACGTCAGTCAGTGTTTACACTCGGCTAGCTATCACTCGGCTTGTTATCTCATGTGCGAAATAGACGTAGAAAGCAGCGCCTCGTCTCTTTCGGATATTCAACCTCCAGCCCCCTGGCTCCCAGCGTGCTTACCGGCGCAAACCGTTCGACGTGTTGGATTCGTGGGCTCGTTCGAAGAGGCGTTGTTTAACGCTCACGAGTCGCCGAAGTGTTACCGGAGCTTCTCTTTACGAAAGTCGCGATCGACGCTGGGCTCTGAGCTCGTACTTTTTTCTTCCCTGGTAGACTAAGAGTGCCGACCATTCATCTGTGGTGCCGACTGGCGCCGTACGAAGTTGAGAAAAGCTAGCGAGTCTGTCAGATTTTCGTGACGCCGCCCAACTGCTCTGCTACCGGCTGCGCTCAACAAATAAAGTAAAAAAAACAAAAAAAAAACGCGTTTTTTTATTTTCAATTTTTTTTTTTTTTTTGCCATGTTTCATTTTAGTCGTTGCAAAGTAAATCGCGGCCGTACGTCGGTTGACTCCCGATTACTGTCTCTACATCGTAGATTGTCTCACCACACTGGTGCCTCGTTGGTGTGATCTTATTCTGATATCGTTACATCTTGCTTTTTCATCTTGGCACACTTCTGGACGACCTTCTACACGTTGCACTCCTTGTCGACAAGTCGCTGGTGTTAGAGACAAATCTGAAGTCGCTGTTTGCTCACTCCTTGGTGCACATATTTCATGTTCAACATCACGTATCTGAAGGAGGCGCCGTGAAACCCTGGAGTTTGTTTAGAGGCACCTCAACATACTGTATACAAGTGTCGTTTTGTGTGTTATAGTTTCCTACAAAACCAAATTGCACTTTGTTCGTAATATACGCTATAACTGTTCACAACAATTAAAGTTGCTATGAAACATTGGCCACGAGAGGTGACTCGGCCAACGCAGCTTGAAAATTCCTCGCATAATTTTCTTCATGGGTCATTTTGGACATTGACAAATTTTCTTGTGAATAATGAGTGTTATGCACATGTGTTCTACTTTTCGTACAGGTACCTCAGCTAGATAAACCCCAGTAAAGGCAGCAAGACCGTCTCATGGGGTCACACCAAGGATGACTGCATTCCTGCTCGAGTCCCGAGTCTTGTCACCAAACTTCACTGAACATAATGGTACATTCCGTTTCCTTAACTTTTTCTTCTGAAATGTGTTATTTTTTTTATTGTTGCTTTTTTCTATTGAAAAAAGGGTAGTACAACGTTTAAACACCCAATTTTTTTTTTCTTTTTGTAAAATGTGTAGTACATCGTTTAAACACCCAAGCGTTCATAAATGGTCTCTGTACCAGACAATAGGGTGTCTTATACTCTGTTTCATACTCAGCGTGCGACGCTGTCAAAGGTACTAAAGTGGTGCGCATGAAAAAATAGAAAAAGTGTTACTCCGCGCGTTTCGTGGACGAGTGGTAGAAGGCGCTGCTCTGGCGATATTGACGTCTCGGTGGCCGTGGTTCAAACCCATTTTACGCGCAAAGATTTTTTTTTTTTTTTTCTTTTTTAGACATTCTTTTTCTGCAAGATTGTGCGCATTGACGAAGTGCATATTTCAGTTCCTCCTTCTTGATTTTTGTTTATAAGTCGGCGAGAGGCCAGATTTCTACCATCTGGTCTGCCGCTTTGCAAGTGTTATTTGCCTCCAGCACAGAGTTATATTTTTCTTTCGTGCAGCGTGGAATGAGGAATCGCCCTGATAGCGGCCTTGTCCCAAAATTTATAATAAAACATTAACGACAATAGTTGTGGCCTGTACAGTTTATTTTGAAATAGCTGTCAAGGGTAGGAATCTCCCTCTCGGAGCACTTGCAATGCACCTTCAGGCGAATGGCGTTCTGTGTGAACTCGTCATGCTTGACGGTCCCCGTGCTCGAAACTTTCTTGCTGCGAGGTCTTTGCTTCGGGGACGCCACCTTGCCAGATAGGCACTGTGCCTTGCACTTCGCGACAGTACAGGGCACACTCCAGTTTTGTTACTGGCCGTCTCCAGGACTTCACGACCGAATTCTCCGGGGAATGTGTTCTTACACTCCCGTACACATTGGCGATCATCTGCTTGCACTCTTTCAAGATTTTCGCACAACGAATCTTCGAAAACATCCGAGCAGGAAAGGTACTTGAGCTTGCTGCGTAAGACGCCATCTTCTCAAAACCAGCGGCTGCCACACGGATGAACACGAAAACAATTTAAGGTGGTTTACATTATCTTTTCCTTTTTCTTGAAAAACATTTGTGCTCCGTTGAAATCATAACGCCAATATCAGTTACTAGCCCCGAGGAGGCACATTTTCCGACTTTTTAAAATTTTTCTGCAGGGGACGCACTATCTTATGGGGCGAACGTAGGCACGGTCAGCAATGCAAACCGGTGCGCTAGCTTTGACTGCGTTGCACTTTATGTATGAAACAGAGCATAGGATCGCTTCAGACGGGGCAACCTTTCCAGCAATTTTGGGGCTGCTGGCGGGTTGTTCCCTAGTTTTCCCTACATCGACACGAATTGCTGAGATTGGGTCCGGCTCGAAGAGGACGAGCAACTCTGACTACTCGGAGATGTTTGAAGCGGCAGCAGCCAATCAGGAATGCAATATTTTCACGTGACACCCCTGTGGTCGTGATGATGAGAACTGAGGACTTAGTTCTGGTTTGAAATGGATCATTTTGGAAAATAAACTGTTTCAAAAAGACGAATAAGTATTCTCAGCCAAATTTAAAGATATAAAAACATGTTTTTAGGATATAACTGTGTGTCTAAATACTGTAAGAAAAATAAAATTTCATAATGATGATGGCAAGTCGTAGCAATTCGTTTGCTGCATGTGAACGCGGGCGGCCTGTGTTGCTGGTGTTGCGACATGAAGTTGCTGGGCGAAATTGTTCCGTCTGAAGCGGGCTTTAGGGAACTGAATTCAAGGGCCGTGGAGCTCTGGGGGCAAGCCCACCTGGAAACATTTTTTTTTCTTTTTTGCCTTTTTTAGTATTTAAATAGATATATATATATACATATATACTTTTTTTAAGTTTTAACATATAGATGCATAATTTACACACTAATTCATTTTCAGAAGCGCTTTTATTCACACTCTGTGGCTTTCTAGTGCTTGCAATAGCTTCTCGGTAAGCTAATGCCAGCTCTGCAAAGGGAGAGGGATCTTCCCACGCTTTGCAGGCAGTAAAGCTGTGGCTTGCACAGCTCTAGTGTGTCACACCTCGCTCACTGGCTCCATCGCGAAGCATAGGTGCTTCATGAGTCGCGCCACACCGTAAGCCCAAAAAACGGTTGGGTGACAAACCTGGGACCATTTGTCACTGCACTCAGCTATGGTATGGTGGCATGGTCGGGGCATGAAGCAGGGGTACAGCTTGGAAATGCTGATCTTCATGACATTTTAAACACATTTTTCATTACTTTTGTGTCGAGTTGTCAGCATTCTAAAGGTGAGAAAGCAAGCAGCAGCGACAGCAAGAAAAGAAAAATTTAAGACCGCTTTCACCAAGAATCAATTACGAGCACTAGAAAGGCATGGAGTGTAATTAAAACGCTTCTAAAGGTGAATTAGCGTATAAATTAAGTAGTTGTGCCTCAAAAATACAAAAAAAAACAATGTAAATATAGTTATAAGGATAAAAATATACACCAGGAGGACTTAAACCAAAACTACAGTCTGTAAGTTTGAAATTCGACATCTTAAACCACTTGGCCACCACCCAATTTTATTTCCAGGTCGTTCATTGAGGTATATGAATTTTGTTTGCAGCTGTCGGCTGCAAGAGAGATTACCTTATTTTCATTTACTTTACTATTCCCACCAAATATGACAAGTGATAAAGAATAGAACCTCATTTGGTTGGCCGAGGCACTGTGCTTGCATGAAGGCAAACTAGCCTGTCTTGCTGTGTTCATATTTTGTTTCATCATCTGTTTAGGATTCTGTTGTCGCTCATCAAAAGAAGAAAAAAAAAAAACTGACTAATTCTGACTTATTCTGGTGTGCAGGTACCCTTGGCAGTAAACTCTGCTAAATGGGGCAAAATATAGATACTTTTTTTAGCAAATATGCATCGTTTTAGCAAAATGAGCTACACTATTTGACTAACATGAAACAGAACGAGCCTCTCCACTTGGGTCTTTTTTCATCTCTCGCAGACACTATTTCCTGCTTTTTGTGGTTTGTATCAGACTTTTGTATTCTGTCCGGCCAAAGCATCTGTGTTACACTAAGACTGGGTTCTTTAGGATATCTACAGGTATTCTTCGCAGCAAATGGCTTCCAATCAGGAACACGAGTCTGTCCTCGGCCACCGAGAGCAACTATTTTCAAGGTGAGCTATTGCCCGCCTATGAGTTTTGTATTTCATTCCTCTTGAATGCCATAACTTATGTGTAGTGGTCTTGCATTAGTATTTTGTTGTCTCTCTTCTGCAAAAACACCCAAGTTTGACTAAGACCAGGTTCTTTCTTATACATGCAGGTCTTGATGGCAAGCACCAGCCAATCAAGGCCAGAAGTTTGCTCTTTGCCGCGCATGGCAAGTGTTTTCAAGGTGAGTGATTCACGCCTATCTGAGTTGTGCGTTTCATTCCTCACAGACACTCTATTTCCTGTCTGTATAGTGGCCTTGTTTCAGGCTTTTGTGTCTCTGTCCGGCCAAAGCATCTGTGTTAGACTAATCTTTAGGATATGTGCAGCAATTCTTGGCAGCAAGTGGCTGCCAATCAGGAACACGAGTTTGTTCTCGGCCACCAAAAGCAAGTATTTTCAAGGCGAGCTATAGCCCGCCTATATGAGTTTCAGCATTCATCAAGGAGCGCAAAATCAAAGCCCGGGGGTTGGCCATTGCAAAAATGTTGACTCGGAAGCGCATAGGGAGGAAGCTTTACAAAAGTATCCACCTGCCTCTACAAGTAAAACCGAAACTAAGAATGTGGGTTCCATTTGAAAAAAAAAAAACAACATTGTCAGCCCGAATTAACTCGGGGGCGGCACTGAGCAAACAAGCCACGGTACGAGTATGCTTGGTTCAGGCGTTTGTAGGGGTGGTAGATGATTCGGTGTTTCCTAAAAAAAATATTTTTTTTTCTAAAAGTGTGGTGGTCGAATATTCAGGGATGGGCATTGAGTCGGGATGTTAAGGTAAAAATTTCATCCACATGCCGGGATTCATGTGCCTTGTCCCCCTAGCGAGGGGGACAAGGCCTTCAAAATTTTGGGTTCGCAAAAGGGGTGCGTCAGTATTGACGTCTCATTTTACATCATTCGTCTCAATTTAAAACGCACTATAAATGACATGCCTGAGATTCGTTTGGGTGCACTTCCTCTCAGCAAGTATATGGTTCTGTCTCAAAAAGGTCTAATCTGATGTTGACCGCTCCTCAGGTCTCCACCGACGATTCATCAGGACGAGACCCGACCGGGACACTAGGGAGAAACGGCTTAAGCAAGGGAGGCTACATATACGACAGCTTCTTGCGGACAAGAAACGAAAATAGATAGATGGTGTGTGTTTCATTTGCTATGCCTTTTGGCGTGCACATTGTGTTTGTTATGTTTCAAGATTCCTGCAGAGTTCGGTTTCAACTATTGTAAAATACCGAGCATGCGCCCAGGTCGCAGAAGCGCCTACCCTCTGATTCGGAACGATCCGCAAATAAGCAAAGGTCATACCAGACACCCATCCACCTGTTTTGAGCCATGCTCAAAATATTGAAAGAGCACATCAAGCGTCAGGTGCTGTGGCGCCTTTGCCACAATAGCACTAGTCGCAGGGCTGACAGATCCGTGACTGGCGCAAGCCATGGCATGGCTTTTGGGAACCAGGGAATTGAGATTAAAGAAGTAGCGCAGAAATTGGAGGCGAGTGGTGAAGGTGAGCAGAGTTAACAGAAAACAAGGATGAAGGGAGTTCCGTCGCATGAGGCATCTGTGTCCCGTGCATGTAATTTTGAGTGTGCTGTAGGTGGCTACCCAAAAAAATTGTTACTTGGACGTAACTAATCGCAAACCTCTCTTGCAGTTTCCATGGCCCACAAGCCAGCCGGTGCCAGTTCGTTCTCGTTCAAAGGTGAGGATTCTAGATTTTCTAGATTGCTCTGAAGCAGCAATACTGAAGCCAGAGAAGCGGTATGGCATATTTAATTGACAGAACGACTGGGGACGCTTTCACTGAAGCTTGTTTTGCTGCAATACACGTGTGTATTGCAGCAAAACAAGCTTCAGTGAAAGCGTCCCTACTCGTTCTGAGCTCCGTCAATTAAAGGTGCCGTACCTGTTGTCTGTCTGGCTTCAGTGTTGCTGTAGGCGACAAAACGTGTGCCCAGTTTTGTCACAAGAGGCATATTATGTCACGCACATGTAATTTTGAATTTATCGGGCTTAGTGTGCTGTAGGTGGCTGGTCAAAGAAATTGATACTTGGACGCAGCTAATCGCAAATCTTTCTGGCAGTTTCCACAGCCTAAGAGCCAGCAGGTCCCAGTTAGCTTTTCTTCAAAGGTGAGAATTCCAGATTCCCGAAGGAGGAATACTGAAGCCATATGACCGGTACAGCATTTTTAATTGACGGAGCTCAGAACGACTGGGAGCTCCTGCAGTGAAGCTTAGTTTTCTGTAATACAAGCGGGCGACATTGACACGTGCCCAGTTACGTCGCAAGAGGATATCTATGTCCCGCGCATGTAATTTTGAATCTTTCAGACTTAGTGTACTTTACGTGGCTACTCAAAGTAACTGCTACTTGGACGCAACTAACCACAAATCTCTCTTCCAGTTTCCACGGCCTACAAGCAAGCAAGCACCAGTTCGTTTTTCTTCAACGGTGAGCATTCCAGATACTCTAATTAGGTGCGAAGCAGGAATAGTGAAGCCAGAAGAGAGGATACGTATATTTAATTGACTGAGCTCAGAATGACCTGTGGCAGTGGCATTGAAGCTTATTTTTCCACAATCAAATGCAGACATAATTTTGAATCTACCCGCTTGGTGAAGGATTGCTACTTGTCGCGAACTAATCACAAATTTTTATTTTGCAGTTTCTATATGGCTACAGCTAGCAGGTGCTGTTTTCATTAAGGTGAGGATTTCACATTCTGTTTTCAAACATCAAGTTTTTGAATGAGAGTCCTAAACAATTAACTTCCTTTTGCAGTAAATGCCAGATCCTCCAGTTCAGGAATATGTTAAATATATTTGGTATGGATAAGTCCAGTGTTTTGCTTCTTTATTCTCAATTTCACAACAGCAAAATTTTTTTTAATTTATCACTCAGAAATACACACAAGAAGAGACTGTGTTACAGAGAAATGTTGCACTGAACGTGATATTCCAACTCGTATATAGTTTTATTGGTAGCCGATATAATATATTGGATTCCAATATCCATAATACGCTGAGTATATTGGAATCGTAAACCCTTATTGGATCCCCATATGACACATGGGGATCCAATAAGGGTATATACGGTATTGGATTCCAATATTTTCAGCGTATTATGGATATTGGAATCCCATAACAAATCCTTATTGTAATACAATACAATAAATGTAATGTTTTCCAATACACTGTCTATATTGTATTGCAATACAATAAAAAGATATTGTTTACCAATATCCATAATACGCTGTTTATATTGGGGTTTTCCAATAGGGCTATTAGTGTTTGCGATCAAGGAATCGAGTCGGACATCCTCGTGCCCTGGACAGCCACACCATCATCCGACCAAATGACGTCCGGAGCGTTAAAATCTCCTCCAATTATCAATTTACTTCGACTATTAGTGTTTGCGATCAAGTAATCGAGTCGGACATCCTCGTGCCCTGGACAGCCACACCATCATCCGACCAAATGACGTCCGGAGCGTTAAAATCTCCTCCAATTATCAATTTACTTCGACTATTAGTGTTTGCGATCAAGTAATTGAGTCGGACATCCTCGTGCCCTGGACAGCCACACCATCATCCGACCAAATGACGTCCGGAGCGTTAAAATCTCCTCCAATTATCAATTTACTTCGACTATTAGTGTTTGCGATCAAGTAATCGAGTCGGACATCCTCGTGCCCTGGACAGCCACACCATCATCCGACCAAATGACGTCCGGAGCGTTAAAATCTCCTCCAATTATCAATTTACTTCGACTATTAGTGTTTGCGATCAAGTAATCGAGTCGGACATCCTCGTGCCCTGGACAGCCACACCATCATCCGACCAAATGACGTCCGGAGCGTTAAAATCTCCTCCAATTATCAATTTACTTCGACTATTAGTGTTTGCGATCAAGTAATCGAGTCGGACATCCTCGTGCCCTGGACAGCCACACCATCATCCGACCAAATGACGTCCGGAGCATTAAAATCTCCTCCAATTATCAATTTACTTCGACTATTAGTGTTTGCGATCAAGTAATCGAGTCGGACATCCTCGTGCCCTGGACAGCCACACCATCATCCGACCAAATGACGTCCGGAGCGTTAAAATCTCCTCCAATTATCAATTTACTTCGACTATTAGTGTTTGCGATCAAGTAATCGAGTCGGACATCCTCGTGCCCTGGACAGCCACACCATCATCCGACCAAATGACGTCCGGAGCGTTAAAATCTCCTCCAATTATCAATTTACTTCGACTATTAGTGTTTGCGATCAAGTAATCGAGTCGGACATCCTCGTGCCCTGGACAGCCACACCATCATCCGACCAAATGACGTCCGGAGCGTTAAAATCTCCTCCAATTATCAATTTACTTCGACTATTAGTGTTTGCGATCAAGTAATCGAGTCGGACATCCTCGTGCCCTGGACAGCCGCACCATCATCCGACCAAATGACGTCCGGAGCGTTAAAATCTCCTCCAATTATCAATTTACTTCGACTATTAGTGTTTGCGATCAAGTAATCGAGTCGGACATCCTCGTGCCCTGGACAGCCACACCATCATCCGACCAAATGACGTCCGGAGCGTTAAAATCTCCTCCAATTATCAATTTACTTCGACTATTAGTGTTTGCGATCAAGTAATCGAGTCGGACATCCTCGTGCCCTGGACAGCCACACCATCATCCGACCAAATGACGTCCGGAGCGTTAAAATCTCCTCCAATTATCAATTTACTTCGACTATTAGTGTTTGCGATCAAGTAATCGAGTTGGACATCCTCGTGCCCTGGACAGCCACACCATCATCCCACCAAATGACGTCCGGAGCGTTAAAATCTTCTCCAATTATCAATTTACTTCGACTATTAGTGTTTGCGATCAAGTAATCCAGGATTAAACCTAAGTCCTCAGAG